TGAACATCGCAGGAATTCGGTGAATGTTTTTCACGTAATGGTGAAACTCGCATTATTTGACGTTGCCCGAAAAGTTGGAAGTAAGAATGGAATTCTGGCAATATACTTTCAGAAAGGACGCGAGACTATAACGAAAGCGGCACGCGAGGAACATATACACGTGTACATAGGTAAAATACGTCAGCGATATCTCGAAATACACAAAATATTCTCCTCGTGGAGACTTGAGCCGCCGTGATTACCCGCTGTGCCGAGCATTCGCGCGCTTTTCATAGGAAATTAGAACATTCAATATACGATCAAGCGAACATTACTCATATATAAATATACACTGAGAGACCCATTTTGTTGAATGAAACAAAATTTAGTTGACTCAATTAAATTTCTTGTTTGGATATGAGCAAACAAATCTTTCAGTTGATACAACAACAAAATTTAGTTGGAAAATTTGGTTATATCAACACACAAATTTGATTGAGTGAACATGCGCAGAATCCTTTTATAATATTCAACTAAACGGTTCAGTCAACAAAATGATTCAATCAAATTGTTTCGTTTCATTCAACAAAATGGGTCTTTCAGTGCAGTTTCGCTTATTCTACTGATTGTCGTGAAAGAACTGAAAGAACCGTCTCGATCCATGACAGGGTACCTTATAGGCTGCGTTCAGAAACACCACCCGGATACCCCAGCGTATCATTCTATCCTTGTTGCTCACCGTATGTTAAACAAGGATAAAATGATACACCGATGCGTTCGGGTGACGTTTCTGAACGCAGCCCATATAGGGTGAATCATTAAGGCTGTTCGAATCTTTTACGATGGGGGATGAATTACCGACCGAAACTGTAGTCAATCCGGGAAACAATGGAAAAAAATCTCGTTATATATGTTTCAATCATATAATATTTAATTGTATCTCTCACGATACACTTAGGCTTTACATGATTGAGACATATATACATATAACGCAAGATTTTTTCCATTTTTTTCCAGAGTTGGCTACAGTTGCAGTCGGTAATCCATCTCTCATGGCAAAAGGCTGGGACAGCTTTAATGATTCACCCTATACAGGGTGTCAGATTCGATATGGACGACCCCAAAGATTATAGTAGATTGGGTTAAACTGAGAAGAAAAGTTATATAAAATTTTACAAAATCGTAATTATTATCGGCCTAATTCAGAAAAACGTCTGAGCCAATAAGTGAACGGAGGAGCGGAAAGCCGGACTCGGCAGCATGCAAAATGGTGTGTTTGTTGACATCTCTCAAAAAACGATAGCGAACGTGTTCGCCCGCTCACCGCTCCCCGCTCCCCGCTCGCCACCGTCTCTCATCGATCGATGCGTGACTCCACCTCTCGCTATCGATTTTTCAGAGATGTCAACAAACACACCATTTTGCATGCTGCCGAGTCCGGCCTTATTGGCTC